CACAGATACTGAAACAAAGAAGGTGTCACACTGCTTAATTATTTGCAGTCAAGTCGTTTTTAAGTGCAAAAGCTTTTGGCAGACACTGTCAAAGGTGTTAAAAAATTTTCAGGGAATATGTGTTATATGAGAGATTCTTGAAAAAAGGTCTCAACTCTGTAACACAATTAAAAAATGAATGAAAATACTATGAAAGCATTTTAAAAATGCAATACTTCATGCCAAAGAACAGTAGAATATTGGCAGCAAACATCTAGTGGTGGAGGTGAGAGTGGAATGGGGACTGACCCAATTATATTCCCAATTATATTATACTATGCTCTATGAATCAGTTTGGATTTGAGAGCTTTCAAGCACTGGTCAAGTTCAACTGCTCTAGACTTGTCACCTGTTCTGTCTTACCACCTGCTCCAGCACTATCTAAATTTTGATACTACCTCTGTATGATGACTCTTATCTCTCTGCTTTGGTCAATTTGTTCCTCCTGTTTTGCAAATTAATACAACATCTGGGCTTGACTGTTACTGCATTTAGTTGTTTAGTACAGTGAATGGCTGATGGGTCAACTCGGAAGTTTTCTAGGTCAGGAAATTCAATGTATACATCACTGTACACCCAGTTTAGCATGGTAGTGAGTGCTCAGAATCCTCTTTCAGGTAAACATATATATAATTTCAGTTTTATTTTGTATTACTTACACATAAACACTAAAGTTGTGCTAAAAGTTAAAGAGGGCTTCCTTGGCGGTTCAGACAGTAAAGAATCTGCCTGCAATGCAGGAGACCTGGATCGGATCCCTGGGTCAGGAAGATCCCCTACAGAAGGGAATGGCAATCTAATCCAATATTCTTGCCTGGAAAATTCCATGGACAGAGGAGCCTGGCAGGCTATAGTCCATGGGGTCGCAAAGAGCTGGACACAACTGAGTAACCAAGACTTTCTTTACATAACGTAAACCTAGGGAAAATAACTTGAAAACTTTGGATAAATAGTTTGGCATTTCTTTCTCTTAGTACTTTTTCTTTTTAAAATATTTATGTTTAATAATAAGTTGTCACATCTTTGAAAGTTTCTGGTTTTTAAAGAAATGTAATAGTCTTGATAAACACTTTCATGTGATTGTCCTGTTGTAAAATACAAGGTGAAATTTATGTGATAACTAATTAGATTATAATTATGTATAACACTAATCGGCCAAAAACACAACCAGAATGTGTTTCTGTACTTTCCTGTTATGAAAGTACCAAAATATATTCAACAACATTACTGATCTATTTAATTTGGTACACTATCCAATTACAGTGAAATGCATATGAATATAATTATATAACTTATGACTGCCTAATGAGGTACCCTGTCCTGAAGACATTCTCACAGGTAGGTCAAGGTATTTATTTATTTTTCACATACGCCCTGTAACATTTAAAGGTAACTCAGGTCATGGCACAAATTCTTCTATATGGACGGCTACAATTACATGCTGAATTGATCTAAGTCAATGATAAATTGCTTCCTATTAAATTTTTAATAGGAAGAGAAGTCCTCTTTAATATGTAAGCCAAAATGCAACCCCTGTAAAGGCCATATTTATGAATTATCTTGTTAATTGCTATATTTCTAGTATTAGCAGCAATAGACATTTTATTGTAACAATAGGGATATATTACACAAAGATATGTATTAATCCATAAATGAGTAAAGATGAATGAATTCAGAGTCAAAAGTGTGCTTAGCTTTTCTCTGACTTTAATTAGTTAACTTACATTAAGTGAAGAAACAATGTATCTCATAACATCTTTCTAACAACAGCTTTGAAATTCACTTAGACACATCATTTCTTCTTATAAATGAGTGCTACTGGTCATGATTTATAAAGAGGAAATGTTAAGAAAGCCTCAGACAGTTAAGCAATCTTCTTGGTCATATGACTAGTAACTGTGGAATTTCTATACTTAGTTAACATAAAGTGAAATGAAATTTGTCTTTCTTTGACCTAGGAGAAACTGTATTTTGTTTTGGATGCTGCCCTTAATAATACAGTGTTACTTAAAGCCATTCCTTATTAGATTAATATAGCAGTGGAAATTTCGACTCAATAAATCAACTCTAAGATTTTTAATAATCCTTAACTTTTTATCACTCCCAAACAGCAGATTTTATAGAGGTCAAAAACATTGACTAGAATAGCACCTGCTTGATGCCAGCTCTCAAGAGGAAGCTTAAATAACAAACTTCACACTCTACTGTAACATCCAATCTTTATCAAGTCTCTCTACTGAAGCAAAGCTGTCTGTAGAGAGGTGTGAAGCTGAGTACAAGAAAAACAGAAAGTGCCAAGAAGGCTATGAGTTTCTTCACTGAAGACTCAATTGTTCTAGCTGGTTTTTGCCTAGGACAACTGGTGGAAGGTAGAACAGAGACAGAGGACTGGGTCAGCAAGGAACATATTAGGGCTAATAACTACAACCCTTCTTTCAATCTTCTTTTTACAATTCTGCCACATTTCTATATTGAATGGGTAGCTTGAAAGGAAACAGACAAGTGAGGTTAGTTACTGCAATGACATGACCTGAGTCAGTTTTATGAATGTAAAACAGAGTAAAGAGCATGGGCTTTGGAGAAAGCTCTTAGTTGAAACTCCAAATCTGTCATTTAGTATCTATTGGAGACTGGGCAAGAACACTGAATTTCCTAACTCCAACTTTTTCATCATAGAATGATGGCAATCTATAGAGTTGAATATTATGTGATAAAAATCTTAATATACATCCTGGATGATTGTTAGCACTTGAAAACTATGTTTAAAAAGGTGACTCTGTGTTGAGCACTTTCACATAAGATGGTATAAGAAATGATAAATCTAAATTAAATCAAAATGTCTGATTTACCACTAAAAATCTGGTAAATCCAAACAGAGAACACTTGTTACTTGGAAGAAAAGTTATGATAAACCTAGAGAGCATATTAAAAAGCAGAGACATTACTTTGCTGACAAAGGTTCATCTAGTCAAAGCTATGGTTCTTCCAGTAGTCACGTACGGAAGTGAGAGTTGGACCATCAAAAAGGCTGAGCATCAAAGAATTGATGTTTTTGAACTGTGGTATTGGAGAAGACTCTCTAGAGACCCTTGGACAACAAGGAGATCCAACCAGTCAATCCTAAAGGGAACCAGCCCTGAATATTCATTGGAAGGATTGATGCTGAAGCTCTAATACTTTGGTCACCTGATGTGAAGAGTCGATTCATTAGAAAAGGCCCTGATGCTGGGAAAGATTGAAGGCAAGAGGAGAAGGGGAAGACAGAGGATGAGATGTTTGGATGGCACCACAGACTAATGGACATGAATTTAGGCAAGCTCTGGGAGATGGTGAAGGACAGAGAAGCTTGCCGTGCTGCAGTCCGTGGGGTCACAAAGAATTGGACATGACCAACTGACTGAACAACAGAGGACATTAAAAATAGCTAATTTACTTTCAGCACTTACTCTGTTTAAATATTTTTACATCCTGCTTAACTTTAAAGATGGAAGTAATTTTAATCAATTTCCTTTCTTTGTTCTCCTATATTAATCCAAAATTACAATTCTCATTTGCCTTTTACAATTTTATGAAAGAATTGCATTCCTAAAATTCTCTTGAAAATTGGCATTGTGCTACTTTGATGAGTAAGTTTCTGTTTTCATTTAAATGCACTTTGAAATAGATGCTCTGAGAAATTAGATGCAAAATGTTTTATCTGTTATCTGGCAATGGCTGTGTTTTACTATTTTTGGTGCTAAAAACATCTCTTTCTATGGTGATAAAAATATGTTTAGCATTTAATTGTCTCAAATCACCTGCAGTTAAGAGAGTTTGCAAAACAGGAAAAAGTAATGTTGTATAAGTTTTTAATAAACTAAATCAGCACAGGAGCAGTTACTAACCAACAGATGATTTCCAAATATGCATCTTTTAAAAGAGGAATCATTACTAAAGGCCTGGTATTAAAGCTAAAGATTTCTTAGGAATCTATTTTATTTTTATTTTACTTTATTTTTAAACTGTAATAAAACAATTTTACTTGTGTAATTTTTATCTGTATACCCATAATGAGTTACTACCTTAGTTTTGCTAAGAATAACTTTTAACAAAGGTGCTACTATTTTTTCTTCCAATTCTATCAAGATGTGATTGATATAGAGAACTGTATAAATTTAATGTCTACAGCATAATGATTTGACTTACATACATCATGAAATGATTAGCACAATGTTTGGTGAATATATATTATCACATATAGACACAAAATTGTAAGAAAATATAAAAAAGTTTTTTTTTCTTGTGATGAGAACTCTCAGGATTTACTCTTTTAACAATTTTCATAAATAACTTAAAGCAGTATTAATTATATTTATCATGTTGTACATTACAACCCTGGTATTATCTTACAAATGGAAGTTTGTATATTTTTATTGTCTTCACCTAATTCCCCCTCTCCTTAATCCTCATTTCTGGTAACTTCAAAGCTAATCTCTTTTTCCATGAGTTTTTTGTTTGTTTCTTCTCTTTTTTTTGATTTAATAGGATTTTCTATTAACATATATTTAATAAAAAATAATATCTACTCTGGCTCTCTTCTCCATTGCAAGGGGAAGAGTGGTGAGGAGGGGCTGGCACTGCCCACCCCCAGGAATCTGGACAAGCCCTGCCTCCAGGGCTCCCCTCTACCCCCCATTTTCCAACAGGCTCTGACCTCCAGAGAGATGGATCAAAGTTACAAGTGCTTTAGGCCCTCCCTTGAGCTCCCCCAGCCCCCCAAACTTGTGCAGAATTCAGGGGCCACCTGGGGAAAAAACCCTTGCCTTTTCTTATTCTTGGGATCCTTCATTCAAGTCAGAAAGAGGATCTGGGGGCAGAGAGTGGCATCTCTACTGGCTGGGGGAAGGGAGGGAAGGGACAGTGATGGGGGACAGGGCCGAGAAGAGGGATGGCGATGAGGTGGCCTCACTGCAGCCGCTCACTGCGGAACAGGTCCTCCACAGCCGGGTCAGGCAGCAGGGCGCAGGGGTCGCTCAGCATGCTGAGCCCCTCCAGGCCCAGTGGCTCCATGCGCAGCTCCAGGCCCCACCCAGCTGCTGGCACCTCAAAGCCCAGCATTCATTCCAGGGCCGCTGCAATCTCCTTGGAGTTCCTGGGGAGGCGTCTCCTGTGAGGATGATGTTAGGCCCTGAGCCATAGTGGGAACAGTGGGTTACGTTCTGGTGGTTGAGGGCATGAGGGTCCTGGGGGCCACTCACTGGCCTCTCACCCCCTAAGAATCCAGGCCCTTCGGAAAAGCCAGAGGGATCCTGCACCAGCTGGTCGATGGGTTCCCCATGCTGAACTGCTCCAGGTTCCCCAGGCCAAAGTCACTCATCAACTGGTGGTAAGACTGCTGCCCATGCTCACTGGGGCTGGGTGGGTACAGTGTCCCACACTGCAGCTGCCTGCCCAGGGGCTGACACCCTGAGGGCCACACTGAACAGGCCTGAGAGGGCAGCCCTGGCCGCTGCAGAGGCGTTGGGGTGAGTGGCTGGGTGGGCAGAACCAAACTGGGGGGGGCTCTAATGGATATGGAGATAGCCACTGGTTGGTGGGCAGCTTACTGGTATCCAGGGGGATGCCCTGAGTGATGGAAGACAAGGTGGGTGACCTTGTTGGGTTGGTGAAAACTGTTTGGGCAGTTGCTGTTGGGACCTTCTGGCATTGGCTGGGCCTGCAAACCATGGGGACTGAGCGGCACATGGTGGTGGCGGGGGAAGGCCCCGGGGGCAGAAGCTGAGTAAGGCGGGGGTGGTGGTGGGAGGGTGGTGGAGAGGGCGGAACCAGAGATGAAGCAGAGAGGAGGTGGAGCGGGCCCGGGAACTGAGTGAGGGGTGACCCAGGGAGGTGGCAGGCAGTGCATGGTGGGCCAAGCAGGAGGCAGGCGGTTGTGAGGGGTGACTGTGGGAGCCCTGGAGCTGGGGCTGAGGACTGCTCAGGGAAGCCTGGAGGTTGGGATTGCTTAGGGAGGACTGCAAGAATGGGTGGCTGAGAGGTGAATGAAGTCCTGCACATCATAGCCTGGGCCCAGGCCCAGGCCCCCACTGATGCCCAGATGGGTCATGGTGTGGGTCACACTGGAGGAACTGTTGCCCCCACTCAGGCGGAGACAGGCTGTCTCCTTTGCATCCAGGCGGTGGGTAGTGGTGGGGGAAAGTGCAGGGTGGTGAGGTCAGGTAGGAAGCCTCCCGTGTTCATGGCAAGTAGGAGGACAGGCACAGTAGCAGGCTTGTCAGGAGAACGGAAGATGTTAATTCCAGGGACTTCACAGGATGGAGGTCAGGAGGAGGATGAGGACAGCTTCTTAGCATCCCATGGTTTCAGCAAGTGCTTACCATCTAGCAAGTTCTCCTCAATAGAAGGGACTTTGGAGTCCATCTCGCCATCCAGAAAACCTCCACGGTGGATCGGCAGGACCCTGGTGGGTACAGGGCCTGGATAAGCGTCCAGAGGTTTGGGGTTCATCATGCTTGTGGAAGGACAGAGTCGGAGCTTGTTCTGTTAAGTGCAGATGGTAGTCCAAACAACTGCCCCTCACTGCAGGGAAACTGCCCCAGGGCATTGTCCTCCACTAGCCGTACTCCGGGGAAGGAGATAAAAAGGCAGGACTCTAGGGAGACCTGTCAATGTGCCGGGGGTAGCAGTGAAGTGGGGACACCATTCCTCGGGGATCTCGCTGCACCTGTTCCACCAGCCCGTGGTTCCCAGTGCTCCGAGATGAATCCAGAGGAGAGGGGAGGAACTCTGTAGCTTGGCCAGGCCACAGCCAATCTAGTTCACGTTGGGCAGAGAGCCACCATAATGGGAACTCCTTGTGTATGCCAGCCGCAGTTTTTGGGCCTGTAACTGAGTAAAGCCGATGTCCATTATCACCTCCTCGAAGGCCGCCGTCTCCTCAGCTTGACACTGCTTCTGCAGCGTGATCTTCTGACTAAACTTAAGCGGACTGGAAGGTGAAGCCACGGTCGAACTGGCCCATTCGCTCCAGACGTCACCATTTTCTCCCCTTCCCTCCTCGCCACCCTCCCAATACAAGCCTCCACCTCTGCCATGGGCCCCAGCCCGGCTCTTCCAGCCATGACCGCTGCCACCTCTGAATTTTTTCTTTCTTTCTTCTGAAGTGTAATTGACCTACAACACTAAGTTATTTCCTGGTTACCACATATTATTCTGATATTTCTAACTATACAAAATGATCACCATGATAAGTCTAGTTATAATTTCTCAACATACAAAGAAACTGTATTTACTATATTCCCCATATTGTACATTTCATACCTATGACTATTAACTGAAATTTCGTACTTCTTAATCTGCCTATTTCTCTCCCCACCACCCCTCCTCTCTGGCAACCACCTATTTGTTCTCTGTATCTATGACTCTGTTTCTGTTTAGTTATGTTTGTTCATTTATTTTGTGTTTTAGATGTCCCATACAAGTAAAATCATGCACTATGTGGCTTGTCTGACATTTCACTTAGCATAATACTCTGTCAGTCCATCCATATTGTTGAAAATGGCAAGATGTCATTCTTTTTTAGGGCTGAGTGGTATGCTATTATGTATGTATGTATATATATAGTATTTTATATACATATATCTTCTTTATACACTCATCTGCATTTGAGGTGCTTCCATATTTTGACTATTATAAATAATGTTGCTATGAACACTGAGGTATGTATGTTTTGAATTAGTTTTTTTTTTTAATTCAGATACATACAAAGAAGTGGAATTGGCGAATCACATGGTAGTTTATCTTTTTACTTTTTTTGAGAAAACTAAGCAGAGACATTACTTTGCCAACAAAGGTCTATTTAGTCAAGGCTATGGTTTTTTCAGTGGTCATGTATGGATGTGAGAGTTGAACTGTGAAGAAAGCTGAGTGCTGAAGAATTGATGCTTTTGAACTGTGGTGTTGGAGAAGACTCTTGAGAGTCCCTTGGACTGTAAGAAGATCCAACCAGTCCATCCTAAAGGAGATGAGTCCTGGGTGTTCATTGGAAGGACTAATGCTGAAGCTGAAACTCCAATACTTTGGCCACCTCATGCAAAAAGCTGACTCATTGGAAAAGACCCTGATGCTGGGAGGGATTGGGGGCAGGAGGAGAAGGGGATGACAGAGGATGAGATGACTGGATGGCATCACCAACTTGATGGACCTGAGTTTGAGTAAACTCCGGGAGTTGGTGACGGACAGGGAGGCCTGGTGTGCTGCGGTTCATGGGGTCGCAAAGAGTCAGACACAACTGAATGACTGAACTGATATGATTTGCTATAGTGGTTGCACCAATTTATATTACCATCAATAGCATACAAGTGTTCCTTTTTTGTCATATCCCCTCCAACATTTGTTATTTTGGGTTTTTGATGATAGTCATTCTGAGAACGGGGAGAAGATAATTCATTTTGCTTTTGATTTGCATTTCTCTGATGATTACTAATAGCAAACATCTTTCCATGTGCCTGTTGGTCACCTCTATGTCTTCTTTGGGAAAATGTCTATTCATATACTCTGTCATTTTTTAATTGGGTCATGTGTTTGCATGTTTGACTTGTATGAGCTACTTAAACTCATACATTAACTCCTTATTGGTCATGTCATTTACAATTAATTTTCATTCAGTAGACTGCCTTTTCATTTTGTTGACAGTTTATTTTGCTATGCAAAAGCTTTTAAGTTAAATTAGGTCACATTTGTTTATTTTCACTTTTGTTTCTTATGCCATAGGAGACAGATTCAAACAAAGAAGGCTATGATTTATGTCCAAGAGTTTTCTGCCTATGTTCTCTGCTGGGAATTTTATGGTGTCTGGTCTTATATTTAGAACTTTAACTCATTGTCAGTTTATTTTGTGTATGGTATGAGAAAATGTTCTAATGTCATTCTTTTACATGTAGCTTTCCAGTTTTCTGAACGAAGTTTTTGAAAAAAAACTTCCTTTTCTTCATTGTGGAGTCTTGCCTTTTTTATTGTAGATTAATTAACCATAAGTACATAGGTTTATTTCTGGTCTCTTCATTCTGTTCCACTGATAAATGTCTGATTTTGTACCAGCACCACACTCTTTTTATTACTACAGCTTTGTAGTACAGTCTGAAGTCAGGGAGCCTGATTCTTCCAGTGATGTTCTTTCTCAAGAATTTTTTGGTCTGTGGGATATTTTTTGTTTCCACATAAGTTTTTAAATTATTTGTTTTAGTTCTCTGAAAAATATCATTGGTATTTTGATTAGAACTGCACTGAATCTCTAGATTACCTTAGATAGTATTCTCATTTTAACAATATTAGTTATTCTAATCATGAGCACAGTATATTATTTCATATGTATGTGTTATCTTCAAGTACTTTCATCATCGTCTTATAATTTTGCAAGTACAGTTTTTTTTATCTCTTTAATTAAACTTATTCCAAGGTATTTTAATTCTTTTGATATAATTATATATGATATTTTTTCTTAATTTCTATTTCTGATATTTTGCTGTTAATATATATTCAACAAATATATGACAGATTTCTATATATTAATTTTGCATCCTGTAATTTTACTGAAGTCATTGATGAGTTCTTATAGATTTGTAGGGGTTAAGAGGATTTTTTATAGTATCATATCACCTGCAAACAGTGACACTTATATTTCTCCTTTCCATTTTGGATTATTTCTTTTTCTTGTCTGACCACTGTGACTCAATTCAGTTCAGTTCAGCCAGTCAGTCATGTCCAACTTTTTGCAACCCCATGGACTGCAACATGCCAGGCTTCCCTGTCCATCACCAGCTCCTGGCGCTTGCTCAGACTTGTGTCCACAGATTCGGTGATGCCGTCCAATCATCTCATCCTCTGCCGTTCCCTTCTCCTCCAGCCTTCAGTCTTTCCCAGCATCAGGATCTTTTCCAATGAATCAGTTCTTCACATCAGGTTGCCAAAGTATTGGAGTTTCAGCTTCAACATCAGTCCTTCCAATGAATATTCAGGACTGATTTCCCCTAGGATGGACTGGTTGGATCTCCTTGCAGTCCAAGGGACTCTCAAGAGTCTTCTCCAACACCACTATTCAAAAGCATAAATTCTTTGAT